AATTAGCAACAAGATCTTTCTCCACGGACGACTTCTACCAACTTCTACAGAAAATTGCAGTGCTTGAAACCAAGATCCACAGGTTAGAAGTGAATGTGGAAGTGAATGGACTATGTGGGAATGACACCACTTTACCGTGGACCCAAAACAGTGGACAAGAGCATGCTAACACACGGCTAATTAGCAGTATCAAGACTACCAAGAAGCAGGAGGCCTGTGTACTGGGTAATAAATCTAAAAGTGGGAGTCATCCCTGAAACGCTCTTGGTGCAAAGCCTAAGAGTAAATCATTTCCTGGGGAAATGGGAGGACGAGTAACAGGCAGAACCCGGCGCCCTGAGATTTGTGATGCGACTGGCTGACCTGCATTATCATCCAGGCAGAGCGCCTCTTCAACCCCTGTTCTTGGTAGGACACAGCCGTGGACAGCTGTGAAAGGGAGAGTTAGCAACAAACCTCCCCAACAACCGAGTGTGCAACAGCAGAACAGATTTTCACCACTATTGCAGGATCTTGGATTTCCGTCTGATGACCTGGATAACATCCCATCCTCACACAGAAGGGTAAGGACTGAGAGTAAATCAGAAAGTAAAAGGCTGCAGGGAAAGCTAACGACTGGGCCTCAAACTCTGATTGTGGGTGACTCTGCTGTAAATGATGTAAGAAGCATGTGCAGTAAGAACACCAAAACACTCTGTTTTACGAAGGATACGGTGTCTGACTTGGCAGAAAGAATCCTGCATATCGTGGCTGAACATCCTACTGTGAACATCATAAATAAATCATAAAACATCATACTACATATCGGGGCCAATGATGTTGTGAAGCAACAGTCTGAAGTGTTGTCTGAACACGGTCAGCTCTTGAGGTGCTGAGGTGTTTATCAGTGGCCCTATACTGCCAATCCGAAGAGGAGCTGAGAGATTAAACAGATTGATGGCTTTTGTGGTGTATAACATATGTGCATTTGACGCATTTGAACAGTTTAACATAGCACTGTAGCAGCTGGATAGAGGATTAGTGACCTTTTAAGGGGAGAGTAGAGGTCAGTGGTTATGTGGAGACTCAGACCCTTATATGGTGTCTAACAGATATCTACACTTATTCTGTAGGACTGTGCCCTTATATGGATTGGTGCCTTAGTTTGCAGACTCAGACCCTTATATGGTATCTAACAGATACCTAAACATGTCCTATATAAGCTGTGTTTGATGTACAGAGAGACAGAGTGGGAAGAATCTCCACCTCTCTCACTGAAAACCAACAGTGAGGATTCAACATCTCTACCCCACCAATCCCCACCTTCAGACACACTTTCTCCCCTCTCCCCCCTGTTTGACTTCACTGATCCCATGGAAGACCTGGTTAGAGTTGGGACCAAATTTACTCCCCTCACCTTCCCTCGCTCCACTCCCATTTTCTCTACCATAAACCCCCCTCACCGTCCACCTCCACCACCGGTTCTAAGTCCTCCAAGTTTGACACGTGTCACAAATACAGAAATAGTGCAAAATTTATTGAGGCTTTCTCCTCGACACTCGCCATCTTACGGGTCTCAGTCCATGAGCTTGTAGATAATTTCAGTTCTATAATTACAAATGTTATTGATGCCATTGCACCAGCCAAGGTGAAGGTGGTCTCTGGTAAGAGAAGATCTCCATGGAGAAATGCCACGCTGGTTAGAACTCAAAAAAGAGTGTTGAAAAGCTGAACGCAGGTGGCGGGAAAACAAATCTCCAGGTTCATTATGACGTCTATAAAGAGAAACTTCGCATTTAGAATTTAGAGCTGAGAAATGCAAGGCGGTCCTTCTTCTCTGACATCATCACCAAAAACACTAATAATGCACGTGCCCTGTTTGCTGCTGTCGACAGGCTGACCTGTGTCTGTAGCCTCTGAACTTCTATCCACCAGGGCCTGCAATTAATTTGCTTCCTTCTTCACAGACAAAATTCAAACAATTAGACGAGCAATCAGTGCCTCCATGTCAGTAACAGGATATGTCTTGTCCCTGTGTCCACTTCAAAACAATTCATATAGCATGAGACAATTTGATTCTATTAACCATAAAAACCTGGAGGACATAACATCTGAAATCCTCCTCATGCTGCCTTGATATTCTGCCAACAGGTTTTTTCAAAAATGTTTCTAAATGCATGGCCTCAGATTACTACAAATTGTCAACATGTTTCTCCTCTCAGGTTTTTTCCCACAGGCCCTGAAAACTGCAGTCATTCAGCCACTCTTAAAAAAGAGCAAAAAGAGCAATCTAGACAGTTCACTAATGAGCAATTATAGGCCCATATCAAATCTCCCATTTTTAAGTAAAATCATTGAAAAGGCTGTTTTTCAAAAGCTTAGTGCTTTCTTGGTACTAAATAACTGATTTGATGTCTTCCAGTCAGGTTTTCGACCACACCACAGCACTGAGACGGCTCTTGTTAAGGTCTTCAATGACTTTTTTTGAAGAGAGAATTTCAGTCTTAGTATTATTGGATCTCAGTGCTGCATTCGACACGGTCGACCACAACATATTACTAGACAGACTTGAAAACTGGGTTGGACTTTCTGGCACAGTACTAAACTGGTTTGAATCCTACTTAAAGGACAGGGACTACTTTGTGTCTATAGGTAATCACACATCTGAGCTGACAAAAATGACATGTGGAGTTCCCCAAGGCTCCATTCTGGGACCTCTTTTGTTTAACATTTACATGCTTCCACTGGCTCAGATTATGAAAAACAACAAAATATGTTACCATAATTATGCAGATGACACACAGATTTACATAACCATTTCACCAGGGGACTATGATCCCATACAGGCGCTGAGTAACTGTATTGAGCAGGTCAACGATTGGATCTGCCAGAATTTTCTTCAATTAAACAAGGATAAAACTGAAGTTATTGTTTTTGGAGCCAGGGAGGAACGATTGAAAGTCAGTGCTCGACTTCAATCTGTAATGTTAAGAACCACAAATCAAGCCAGAAATCTTGGTGTAGTCATGGACTCAGACCTGAATTTGAGAAGCCATATTAACACAATTACAAAGTCAGCCTACTATCACCTAAAGAATATATCAAGGATTAAAGGACTTATGTCTCAGCAGGACCTGGAAAAGCGTATCCATGCATTTATCTTCAGTCGACTCGACTACTGTAACAGCGTCCTTACAGGCTCCCTAAGAAATCCATCAGACAGCTGCAGCTGATTCAGAAAGTTTCTGCTCGAGTCCTCACTAAGACCAAAAAGGTGGATCACATCACTCCAGTTCTGAGGTCTTTACATTGGCTTCCTGTCTGTCAAAGAATTGATTTCTTGTTCTGCCAATTGTCACCATAATAAATAATTTCTCTGTCCTCTCAACATCTAACTACAGGGTAAATAATTGCCTTTTGTTTTCCTTACGTTGACAAACTTGTGTTTAAGATCTGATATTTATGTAAACAGGAGTCGGTCAAACTACGTTGGTGTGCATGAAGAAGACTTTATGAAGTTGACTTTATGAAGTTGAGGCACATCAGGATGGGAATGTTCTATAATTTCAGATTGAATGCAGAAGAGTGACAAAGAAACCAGCTTCATTCATGACGGTTAAATAGTCATTGTAGGAGCTGGTAAATGTATCATATGGTTTATCTTTGAACAATAAGTTACATATGTTTTTGGCAATGAAATATCCTAAATAAAGTATTTTCTGACTGTGTTTTCTGACTGTGTTGCAACAGTGAGAAGGTGTGAAAGCGTTTCCCAGTTGATAGGCGTAATGAATCATCTGTGGTTCAGGAGCAAGAAAATGGGCTACCTTTCAGTATTCAGTTTGATAATATGGTTTGGTACGTTTTTATTTGTCAAATGTGTGGTCAACTTGTCATGCAGATCATTCTTATCAAAGCAGTATTATTTTTGCCAGCAAGAAAACAGGTATTTATATATATTATATATTTATATATATATTGTTTTGTCCCAGAAGCATACCGTACATTGTTTTCTTTAAGAAAGTTGTCAATAAAGCATGTTGTTTTTTTTGTTTTTTTAAATTGATTTCAAAATCCTGCTGTTAGTTTATAAGACTGAAGACTTTTCTTTTTACCATTGCTTTTAATTAAATATTTAAGATTTTTCTTTTTACTGATAACTTACACTGCACTGTAACTTTTACTGTCCTGTTTTCTTTTTCTTTGTTTTTAGCTTTTTATTATTTTCCATTTAACTCTTAACCCTGATTGTAATACTGTAAATTTTATTATATTTGATGTTGCTTTTAAACTTTCCCTGTTGCTTTTATGCTTTATGTAAAGCACTTTGAATTACCTTGTTGTTAAATTGTGCTATACAAATAAACTTGCCTTGCCTTGGTTGTTCTTTATCTAAATCAAGTTGTAATATTAGGCTGTATAAATAAAAGTAACTCAATACTTTTCAATCCTAGACAAAAATGTATCTGTTGGCCACTGACATGAAGATTTCTTTTAGATCTACGCTATAAATTATATTTTCTACCTTTTAGTGTTTTTTGTCTTCTTTGTCTTTTTTAATGGTTTTTTTGAGTCTGTGTATGAAACGTGTCCGTTTTGTATTAAAATGTGGATCTGATGGAAGGTCTCTGAAGATCACTAATGAGGAAGCTTCTGAAGGTTCATTCTGACTTTGTTTCTTCCTCCAGGTTGGAACACGGTGGTGAGCAGAGACTGAAACCTGGTCTTAGGAAGTGTAAGTGTGTGTTCACTGTGATTCATGAAAAGAAGACAGCACATTTTAAATTAGTTTAACTCAAAAGCTTGTATCTACATTCAGTTCTCAGTTTCAAAGAATATCCAAAAAGATGAGTCTTTCTGAAGTTTGGATCTAATTAACAGTGTAAATAAAGCAACAAAGAAACCCATCAGGAGTGTGAGATGATAAACTGCTGCTGTATTGTGTCTCGTTCTCTCCATCAGATTTATGTGAACTCACACTGGACACAAACACAGTACACAGATACCTCAAACTGTCTGGTAACAACAGTAAGGTGACAGTAGTGACAAAGGAGCAGCCATATCCTGATCATCCACAGAGGTTTGACTACTGGCCTCAGCTGCTGTGTAGAAATGGTCTGACTGGTCGCTGTTATTGGGAGGTCGAGTGGAGCGGAGAGGTTGATATATCAGTGACTTACAAAGGAATCAGAAGGAGAGGAAACAGTGATGACTGCAGGTTTGGACAGAATAAGCAGTCCTGGAGTCTGAGGTGCTCAGATGTTGATGGTCTCACAAAGAGAAAAACGGGCTCCTCCTCCTCCTTCTCCTTCTGCACCTCCTCCTCTAACAGAGTAGCAGTGTATGTGGACTGTCCTGCTGGCACTCTGTCCTTCTACCGAGTCTCCTCTGACACATTGATCCACCTCCACACCTTCAACACCACATTCACTGAACCTCTTTATCCTGGATTTGGACTAGAGTTGTGTGGTTCCTCAGTGTCTTTGTGTTCACTGTAGAAGGGAGAGTCTCCTACACTACTGACTAAGACATACGTTTTTGTTATGGGTCCTTTTATTAAAGTTTTATGGGGCAAATTTTAGATTTAGTGAACTTTTTCGTCATATAAATAATTATGTATAAATAATAAAATCAAGTTACACACACACACACAGGCATATAAATAATCAAACATATGTAGTTGTTTGATAATTTAGAGATTGTTGATTTGTCATTGATCATTGGAATAATAATAATAACATATTTATATAGCGCCTTTCATGAGGCCCAAGGACGCTTTACACATAATTGAAGTTTGAATATGTCTACTTTGAATTATTTCCACAGTAAAAAAAAATCTGTACATTAATGTATATGGAAGTATGAATGGTTCTGACATTTAGTTCTATCAAAAGATGGACAGATATTTAATCAAAATTAAAATGCTGATTTTTATGGGTTTTGTCTCCTGTTCACTAGCTTGGTCTCTCTATTTTGATTTAGGATAAATAATAAGTTCAGTGTTTTTAGCACTACTATTCCCATTTTTGGGGTAAACAGGAAGTGTAGTGTTACAATGCAGTCAGTGAGTTGTGAGCTATGGGATTTATCTGAACCATTCCCTCCAGTGGGCTTTACAATACATCCAGCACACAAAACCCCTCTGTCCTTAGACCCTTGATTCAGATAAGACAAATCTTTAATAGGGAAAAATGTTAGAAAGCTCAGGTAGAGAAGCAGAGGTATCCCTCCTTAAGAACTAGACTAATGCAGTTTTTCCATTACCAGTAACAGCTCAACGCGCCTAGACTTGACTCGGTTTGGCCGTGCTCCGTTTTCCATTGCATATAGTACCCAGAGATAGTACCCCTCAGTGTAGCTGGTTTTCATAGCGACGCCACACACAACTGCCGCGAGGTAATCTTCAATACCACACACACACACACACACACACACGTGACTCACACAGCTGTCTCTTGATTTAAGTTAAAACATTTCAACATTCCTCAGAATGTTGAGACAGATTAGCCGTGTGAAAACCTTCCACCTGTGTTTTCCTCTGCTGTTGTTGCTGCAGTCATCTGTGTGTCAGTGGGACCAGAGGGCTCTGTGAGCGGGCGGCTGGCCGGCCTCGCAAGCTCCTCCCGCGGGTTGGTGCAGGCTTACCCCTCCGCCACTTGCGGAGCTCTTCAACTCAGAAAAAAAGGCGAGGCAGGGTGAGGTGAGGTGAGGCAAGCTGGTACCGTGCAGTGGAAAAGGGGCTTAGCATGTACAGAATAGACCAACATAATAAGATGACAGGAGTGTTTGGCACAGATCAACGAACTTGGCTGGGGCTACTGTAGTGTAACTTCCCCAATCTAATACAGAATTTCATTCAGCAAAACACTGGAGAACGCACTCCATCTGTCCTCACCAAGATGGCGTGGAGGCTGCAAGCTGTCTGTGGGTTCCAAACGTGTATGTGTCACCGCCGCGCTGCTGGTCGGCTAGTTCAAAGAAACAATTCAAACTTAATTTGGGTAAGGTTCTGCTGGGGAACGGGCTTCACCGAAACAACACAAGGCTCAGACCAGTACAGTTTATAAAACCAACGCCAGTGTCTTTATTAAAAAAATAATAAAAAGAGTTCACAATAAAAACTCGTAATAAAAGTCACTGGGCAAGCCTTGATCTGTCCGGTCCTCAGTATTTGGTCTTTAAAATCCCAGTAGATAATCGCAACCAGAGAGGCGTGGGAGAGTTACTTACAGGGAAGGAGGGGGGAACGAATTCCGACCCCTCCTCGTGTCTCTGATGGCGTCCTCCCCCACGCACTTCCACAAAGGCCACTCCTCACTCCAGTTACTCCGAGGCGTCTTGTCTTGACTCCGGGCCGCTGCGTCTACCCAAAGGGTTGCTCGGCAGTGTGGTGGACTCGCTTCCGACGTCCACCTCGGTCCCTGTCTCGTCTCCGTCGACTCTCCGCCTCACATCATGCGTGGTGACCACCGCGTCTCTCTAGCTTGCCGCCTTGGGTGCAGCTGCCGTCCTGCCGTCGGCTCCACTCTTCCCTGCTCCCGTGTTCCCCCTTCCGGGTTTCTCCCGTCTTCTTATAAAGAAGAACCTTCCCCCAAGACTTCCCACACCGGTAGCCATTCACCACTAACGAGGGGGCGTGACCATACGCAGTTCCAATCTCTCTCTCACACACACACACACACACACACGTCATCCCGGTGACATATGCACATAAAGAAGCCAGAAGATAGCACTGTGGCCTCACAGCAAGAAGGTCCCGGGTTTGAATCCTGGCCTTTCTGTGTGGGGTTTACATGGGTGGGTTTCCTCCGGGTGCTCCGGTTTCCCCAATCAAGCGCGAGGTTGGTTCTCCAGACAGTTGTTGGACACAGTTGGTCCGCAATTGCTGTACAGTGTCTGTCTACATGTACATGAAGAGAGAAAGAGAAAAAGGAGAGCAAGGTATCTAAGGTTGCTGCAGCTACATATGATGCAACTACATACGATCCAGTGGGCCAGCTGAAGCAGCATAGAATACCAGACCGTTCTCTTCTCAGGGCATCAAATGCAAACGCATTAATCACACAATACCCAGCAGTTAACTTACATTCAGTGGCCGTGGTCCTGGACTTTGGGCCTGATAAATTACAATTATTGACTCAGCATGCAGTGGCAGAAACTAAGACAAGCAAAAATACACTAAATCATAATTACCGTGGCAAAATACAATAACTGTCTGCCACTTTAGCTTACAGGAACCAGCAAAAAACTTACATTCATGAGCTGTGCTGTTGGACTTTAGTCTTGATAAAGCTCAGTGAGGCACTATACTCAATGTAAGGAACAACACAAGTGCAGTCCAAGCAGCTCCTGCGCTCTTGTGAGGGGCTCAGCCAGTAAGAATCCAGTATTTGGATTTGGTTCCTTGGAACACAAAGGATTCTGTACAGTCCATAGAGTTTGTAATGTCTGGGCAGAAATCTAGACTTCTAAATACGTCTAGGCATATTTACACACAATCTATCCACAGCACACACGGTAAACAAGTGTATATGCTCTGCAAAATTACGTAGAATATCAATTTCTACAAAAAAAGTATGTATGACACCATGGCATATAATTACATTAACTTTGGGTGAGTTTTCATTGTAAAGGTTCAGTGTGTGAGATTTAGTGGCATCTAGTGGTGAGTGTTGTGAATTGCAACCAACTGTCCAGTCTACCACTGCCCTCTAACCTTTCAAAGAGCGTAGGACAGCTACAGTGGCTGACACAGCACAAAAGGTGTCTCTTCAGAGGCCAGTCAAGAAATGAGGTTTCTTTAGGTATATTTAGTAAGAAATTATATTTACTTAATTATTCAGTAAAACCAGTCTGCACTACAGTCTTTTATAAACCACACATTAGATAAAGTTTATACAAACACTGACAAGGGAAACATATTCATTCTCTCTTCGATTATGGACCCTTGCCAAAACTGCCCGCCAACAACAATATCTGGCCCGCTGCCAGATTACGGTGCTTTGATAGGGGCAAAAAATATAAATAAATAAATACTTTGATAGCTGCTGAAATGAGCAAGATTCCCCTAAATGTTCTCTGCCTGGAGATACTGGGGAAATGAAAAAGCGTCTGTAGGTCGATGGATGTGGATCAAACACCGAAACACAAACAGTGCAGCGCAAAATTTGCTCTGATGTAAAGCTTATTTGCCAACCCTTGCTGTATATTTCTTCTTCTTTGAACGTACAAATTCAATGTTGTGATGCGCTCTGCACTGTCTGAATTCTACCAGAAGTAGAAGAAGAAGAACGTAGTGACGAAATGCGCTCTGTAGCGCTGTTTGTCCGTTTTCAGCTACTGTAGAAACATGACGATGAAACGTGGCAACGTCCATGGAAGGGGGTGCCCGTGTTTATGTATTCATTCTAAGGTAATAAAAACATAATGGTTTATTATGTAAGGTCTTTTACACACCACTGAAAACATAGTTATGGATCTTATATTGCATTTCTGTAGATAGATCCTCAGAAATATTACACACTGAACCTTTAATGCATCGAACAGCTGCATCGTAGGTTCGCTCATTACATAACATGGCATGCACAGCTTACGTAACTCAGCAGCTTTGACAGCCATTGGTAAATTTAACCTCCACATAGTCTATTTTTATGTTTCCTGTACATGTCAAGTCATATTTCACTGCTGTCCAATTTGCACTACATTGCAGTGTAATCTGCATGTAGTTTTAGTTGCGTTTTTAAAATGTACTGTTTATATTTCCTTGTACTATTTATGGCTATCTTTAATCTTGAATATCATGCTGATTTATATAGAACCTCTTATTCACCAGACATTTGTGCAGAAGGAACGTGCTTGGTGATGGAAATAAAGGCATTGGAATTTCAGTGTGATTCTAGTTTTCTTAGAGGTCTTTAAAGATTCAGTGTGTAATATTTCTGAGGATTTATTGACTGAAATGTAATATAATATCCATAACTTTTCACTAACTTTTTTTCAGTGGTGTATAAAGACCTTACATAATGAACCATTACGTTTTTATTACCTTAGAATTAGCCATTGTATCTACATAACCGCAGGCACAGCGCTACAGAGCGCGTTTAGTCATCACAGCCTTCTTCTTCTGCATAATTCCAGCAGTGTAGACACCCGTCACTACATTGAAAACACGTACAATGAGGAAAAGGAAATACAGAAATCACAGATGTTGTGGATTTTCCCAGATGGAAGGCTATAATGTGGGACAGATGTTTTCAGAGCTGAAGTTGCCTGTTTTCTGCTGGACAGGTAATTAACTTAAGTTTGTCGGACTTTAGCGATGCAAATTAAAGCTGTTGTTTGATAGCTTTAGCTTGAAGCTGCCCATAATCACCGAGAGACATGAGGTGTTTCCCCTGAGACAATCAGCTGATCAGTAACGTTAATTGGCAATAAAAACGTAATGTTAGCTTAGAGCATGGAAGCATCAGCCAGCTAAACGTTTACTGCCCTGGTAGAAAAATCATGTAAGTTTAGTTGGATTGGTTTATTCTCTAGCACTGCCTTTGGTTTGTGGTGTAAAATATGTAGTTGGATTGATTTCATGCAGTTACTCTCTCTACAGCGCTCTATTTTTTGGTTTTGTTACCTTCATGAGACAATCGGTTGATCACTAATTGGCAATAAAACGGCAGCTTCCAGCATGAAGCTCAGATCAGCGAGCTAAACTTTTACTGCACTGGTAGAAAAAATATGTAGTTGGATTGTAACTTCGTGTAGTTCTTCTCCAACCTCTGTTATGGCTTTGTTACGTGGACAGAAATGTGACGTTACCTTCCTGAGACAAACAGCTGATGAATATTATTGGCAATAAAACGGTAACAGCAGGGAAGCTCAGATCAGCAGCTAAACTTCACATTTTACTGCTATGGTGACAAGACCGTGTGCCTATCAAGTGACCAATAAT